ACACAGCCACCACAAGGCATAAGAGCAGTGTTGAGATTTATGAGTCCTAAGAACATTTGAAAAGAATGTACTGTAGTAGCATTCGAGGAGCCTGGTGGTGCAGTGGTTAAGCACTTGTTGTTATGTGCCGTCAAGTCAGACCCGACTCATAGCGACCCCTTCTTGGGTTTCCAAGGCAGTATCCTATGGAAGTAGATTGCCCCATCTTCCTTCTGAGGAGTGGCTGGTGGGTTTGAACAGCCAGCCTTCTGAGTAAGAGTCAAGTGCCTTAGGCACTATACTACCAGAGCTCCCGGTTAAGCACTTAGCTGCTGAGAAGTCAGCAGTTTGAACCTACCAGCTACTTCACAAGAGAAAGATGAGGCAGTCTGCTTATGTAAATATTTTAGACTAGGAAACCGCATAGGGCAGTCTACTCTGCCCTAAATTGGTGCTATGAGTCAGAATCAATTCGATGGCAATGGGTATAGTTCTTTGGGGTTTATCATTCCACTACCCTAACACAGCAGAGCTCTCACTTACATGATTCCTTTCCAATCTTTTTAATATTATCATAGTTCATATGCAGTGTTGTTTAATTTCTTTTTTCAGTTAATATGTTTTCATTGTGAAATGTATCATACAACACAGAAGACTGAGTAGAATGTACTTATATTAACTAGTCCAAGAACAACAGTGAAATGAAAATCCATGTACCCACCTCTAAAGTTAAGTTACAGAACATTGCCAGAACTTAGAAGCTGTCTGAGTGCCCTTCTTGATTTAGACACCCTACTTTTTCCTAGATTTAGTCACTTGACTTGACTTTTGTGTTAATCACCCCCCTGCTTTTCTTTATAGTTTTATCTTTAGATGTAGTGCCTAAGGCATTTGACTGCTAACCAGAAGGTTGGCGGTTCAAAACCACCAGCCACTCCATGGAAGGAAGACTGGGCAATCTACTTCCATAAAGATTTACTGCCTCAGAAAGCCAAAGGGGGTCGCTATGAGTCGGAATATAGTGGCTAAAGCACTTGACTGCTAACCAGAAGGCTGGCGGTTCAAACCCACCAGCCACTCCTCGGAAGGAAGTTTGGGCAATCCTACTTCCGTAGTGATACGTAGTGATACTGCCTCGGAAACCCAAGGAGGGGTCGCTACAAGTTGGGGCCGACTCGACGGCACATAACAACAACAACAGATATATATAGATACATATATATATATATATATATATACACACACACACACACACACACACACACACACCCTATAACAGTATGTTGTTTAGTTTAGAAAATCTGAATAGACAGCATAAGCTTCACTGTGTAGGGAAAGAGCTTTATTTCCATTCATAGAAGAAGGCTTCTAGGAAAAGGGAAGCTAAACAGTCGCTGGCTTCAGCTGCTTATAAATTCTTGAGAAAATTTACAAGAGCCCTTTCAGAAAAATCAAAAGGTAAAGTTGTGAGGAAGTCTAAGGAAATACAAGGCTCACCAAGTTAGAGCATTTGGTATGACCAGATGTGAACATCCAGCAGGAGTGGGGGTGGGGGTGGGGGAAGGGAGCTACTCACTGTGGCCAAACTCCAGCTCTCAGGAGTAGGTCAAAGCTGGAACACATCTGTGGGTGAAACAAGTATCTTTAGTCATTCTACTCAGCAGGGCACAAAGAAGATAGTAGGTGCTTCATCAGCAGACGTCAACACAAGCCAAATAAGTATAAAAATTGGGACAAGATTTAATGGGCAGTCTATCCCCAGGTTAAAAAGGTGATATAACAGTGACCTGAACTGTAGGTGACAGTCTTCAATATCTGTCTCTTGTATCACGGTGCTCCAATCTGGATCTGTTGTCCTCTGTGTCTACTATATGGCTTTTTTCCTGGGATATCTTTTCTCTGCACTCCTAGGATTTTCTTTCCCCGTCTCTTGTGTTACCTCTTTCGTTTTTGGTTGCTTCTCCTTTTAGTGGAACAGTCCTCCTTTAACTTCTGAGAAACATCTGTGGGACGTAAAACATGAAAACGTGTGTCTGAAATGTCTCAATTTTACCATCATGTTTAATTGATACTTTTGGATAGAATTCATAGCTTGGAACTTTTTCCTTTAGATTATTGATTCTTTGCTCCAAGGTTCTGGTGAAAAGACGGAAGCTGTTCTGATTCCTGAACTTTTTTTTGCGAAATGTGTTTTTTTTGTTTGTTTTTCTCTCTGAAATTTTATGGAATATTTTCTTTGTCTCCCAAACCAAAACTAAACCTGTTGCCAGCCAATCAGTTCTGACTCATAGCAATCCTATAAGACAGAGTAGAACTGCCCCACAGGCTTTGCAGAACTATAATCTTCACGGAAGCAGACTGCCACATCTTTCTCCCCCACGAAGTGGCTGGTAGGTTTCCACAAAGCAGCTGGTAGGTTTGAACCATGAATGTTTTGGTTAGCAGAGTGTTTTAACACTGTGCCACCAGGGTGCCTTTCTTTGTCCCCAGAAGTCTGAAATTTCATGTTGCTGTATCTTGGTATGGGTTTCTTTTTATCCATTGTGTCTGGGCACTTGGTGTGCCTGATCAGTGTAACAACTCATATTTTTAAAGTTTTTCAAAAAGCATCCTTATTTCATGTATCCAAAACCAAACTCACTGCTGTCGAGTCAGATCCGACTCATAGTGACCCCTCGTTGGGTTTCTGAGGTGGTATCTCTATGGAAGTAGATCGTCCAACCTTCAATCAGAGGAGTAGCTGGTGGATTTCCGCCAGCCTTCTGGTTAGTAGTCAAATGCCTTAGGCACTACGCCATACAGTATCTTTTTAATTCTTTGAAGATTAATTATTTTTTATGCATTTTTCCCCCTTTTGTTTTCTCCAAGTTGTGTTTCTAGTTCTGTTTTCTCCAAGTTGTGTTTTATGTTTCTTTATTTTGGTCTCTAGAGGTCTTTCTCAGAGGTCTGGTATTTCTGCTCAAGATTTAAGTTTAGAGGAACTAAAAACCTGATTGTAAGTGTTGAGCATGTGAGTGGGTCTTAAGCATTTGGATTTGGCTGGGCCATTTTTTGGGAACCTAGTATTTTTTTTTTTCCTCTAGGTTAGAGTCCCTGGAAGAGAGTTACTCTAATCTCCTGCTTGGTGATTTAAAGCCATTAGGAGTTGAAGAGGAGAGCTGGGTAGGAGATGATGTCTGTATTTAACGTTTAGTTTTTATGGGGTTACTTAATACCCCTTTTATCAGAATGATACCACTCTCTTAGAAGTCCCTGATATTCCCCAATCTAGATGATAAACCTCCTTGTTTCACTCTCCAGAGACTTGGGCAGAGGAGCAGTTACCAACTGTAGAGGTGGAGAGGGGATTTAGGAATTGTTTTGCACATAGATTTCACTCAGTCTTTGTTTTTCACTTTAGCATCTCTCTTCCCCCAGTAGACCCAGAGGTACCTGGTGCTATTATTTCCCAAGCCTTTGCAGGATTCTGTAGTGTAAACTGCTTAAGATTCAGCTTTCTAGTTAACAACTCCCAAAATTTTGTTGCTTTTTGTCTCCTTTCCTGGTATCTCTGCATTTGTCTTAGTATGCAATTTATTTACTATAATTGCAAGAAGAAATGAAATAAAGATGCAAGTATTCAGTCTACCATCTAAAGGTGAAACAGCCAATATTTTTGTGGAACTCTATCATCTTCATAAAATGACTATAATTGTCCATTAAGTGAAAGTTCCGTATTTATCAAGAACCATTGTTTAAAATTAGGTTGTTTTAATTTTTTTTTGTTGCTATAAACAATATTATGGTGAACTCTCTTTTTCCCCACTTGCTTTTCTTTCATTATATTATTTTCTAAGGTTAGAGTCCTAAAAGGATAATCCCTAGGCTAATTGGGTATGAACATCTCAGTGCTCTAAAAAAATTTTGTCAGATTGCTTTCTGAAAAAATTGAACCAGCTTGCATTGCTTCTCCAACTCTGCTTTAATTTGTTTCATCTTCCTTATATGTAACTGGCTTTGTGGGTCAAACGTTCTGATCTTGGAAATAGTTCTCTTGTGCTTAAATTAAATATAAGTTACAAAATTTGCTTTGATCAGTGATCTATTCCCAAAAAATGGCTTTTTTTTTTCTTTTATCTTGATAAACCATCTATAATTTAGTTTTAAAGTAGAAAAGGAAAAAAAAAATGGCTAACACAGTTTGAGTGTTACCATCATTTCCCTGATGCTACTTCTTTCTAGTCTAGAAGTCTGAGAATTTTTTTTTTTTTTTTTTTTTACTTCCTTCTCCCTGACCTACTTGAAATTCTGAATTGGCATTTAATCTTTACCACTTGGGCAGGCTCTCATTTGCTTTTGATTTTAAGCAAGGTTATTTCTTCTTCTGTTTTTCAAATTGTGATTTGAGTGAAGTTTACAGAGCAAATTTATTTTCCATATAGTAGTTCATACACATTTAGTTTCATGACATTGACTGCAGTCCCCATAATGTAACAACTCTCTTCCCACTTCCTCCCTGGAATTACCTCTTCCCTGTGCCCTTCTTTCCTGTGCATTCCTGCCCCCTGAGCTATCTCCCTGTGCAAATACTGCTCTTCTGATCTCTCATTGTTGATTGTTCTAAGGAGTGTGCCTGCCTACCTGGTGTTCATCTTATATGCCTGTCCATTGTTTGGCTGGAATCCATGGAAGTGAGTACAGTTCCAGGCCTGAAGAGTGACTTGGGGACATAGTTTCAGGGGTTTCACTGGTCTCTTTCTGACCAGTAAGCCTGGTTTTTTGTATGACTTGGAATTTCATTTCACATTTTTCTCCCACTCTTTCCAGGATCTCCTGCCCTGATCCCTTTCCAAGTGGTTAACAGTGGTAGCTTGGCACCACAAGGTTATTTCTTAATGAGGTCAAATGCTTCCCCTTTGTATCTTTGATTATAATATTCACTTAGAGTAAAATATTTTCAAGAGATAAGAGGAGTCGTCTACAGATAACTGCTTGGATTAAATTTTCCCTCTTTGGTTGATTTTCTGTTGTTGTTGTTTTAGGTGGTGCTTCCTACATTTATCCTAGAGAAGCGTTCCTTGCTGGAAATGTATGCAGACTTTATGTCTCATCCAGACCTATTTATAGCCATCACTAATGGAGCCACAGCTGAGGACAGAATGATGCGTTTTGTTGAGTACTACCTTACCTCATTTCATGAAGGCCGTAAGGGAGCCATTGCTAAGAAACCGTACAATCCTATCATTGGAGAAACATTTCACTGTTCCTGGAGGATGCCGAAAAGTGAGGTAGCATCCAGTGTTATTAGCAGCTCTTCTACCCAGGCAATCACAAATCAGGCTCCTCTATTGGAGGAATCTTTGAGCCAGGTAGGATCAGACTGTTACACAGTCAGATTTGTGGCTGAGCAGGTTTCCCATCATCCTCCGGTCTCAGGATTTTATGCAGAATGCGCAGAGAGGAAGATGTGTGTAAATGCACATGTCTGGACTAAGAGCAAATTTCTAGGCATGTCAATAGGCGTGACAATGGTTGGAGAAGGTACGTGGAAAAATTGTTCTGTGCTTTTTAATATCAAACTAAACTTTGGGAAGCTATATAACATTAATTATACATTAGAAATGTTATTTGTACTACTTTAGTGTTCTGACTCTTGTATGTTCCAGAATGCTTGTGTGTGAAGGTGAGGGTTTTATCTATAGACCAATGTACATTCTCTTCTTAAATGATTTTATTTCTGATTTAAAATATTTTTATTATCAAAAATTTGGAAAACTTAGATAAGTATAAAGGAGAAGCCTCTCTAAATCCTTCATCCAGACATGGATAATTTTAGTTATTTTATAGTTTTTATGTGTGTATATAGTCATATCTTTTAGTTTTATAAAATTAGCTTGATTATATAGAGAGAATTTTATGTCCTTTTTTGAGCTAAGTATATATTTTTTCCCATGTCATTGATTAAACTTTAAAACATGTTTTAATTGCCGCACAATATTCTACAAAAGCATTTGCTATCTTTTATTTAAACATAACATTTTTTTCCATAATAAAAATCACAGTACAATGTATTTTGTAGATAAATCTTTATCTACATCTCTTATATTTCAGTAGGAGATACCTCATACAGTATTTAAAATCCATTGCCAAACTTTAATTCCCTTCAGCAAAATACCATTTTACAGTGTTAAAGGAAAACACTTTGTATAGACAAGGTTGTTCTGAATGTAAACTTAAAAAGTAAGTATAGAATAATTAAGCCTGTGACTTTTAATATTTTGGGATTTTGTTACTGTAGCTGTGAAGAAAATACTTTATCCCCCTTTTCACTTTTTCCCATTTTTAAGTTCTGCTGTGATATGATTCTTTCCAATTTCCGCATCATGTTTAAGGTTAATTAAAAATTTTTATAACATTATAAAGTGTTCTTGTTTTATTAATTTTTTATAAAAAGGTTTGCCATATTTGATTATAAACTCCATAACACTAACCCTTGGCTCTTCATAAATCAACCTATTAATTTTATAGGTGGAAAATCTGAAGTCTAGAGGTGATGGAACATACCCAGAGTCATAAAGTTTAAGGCATAGCCAGATTTAGAATCTCATTCTTCTATATTCTCTCCCCCAGCACAGTTATTCTTACCTGTTCATATAACAGAAAGAATCTGGTAATGGTAACCTCTCCCACTCCAAGAGAGAAAATACCTCAAGAAATGAGAAAAAAACCCATTGCCATTGAGTCGATTCCAACCCAGTGATCCCCTTTGGGTTTCCAAGGTAGTAAATCTTGACAGAACTAGATTGCCCTATCTACCTTCTGTAGAGCTGCTGGTGGGTTTGAACTGCCAACTCTGGTTAGCAGTCAAATGCTTTAGGCACTGTACCACCAGAGTTCCTCCAAGAAATGAGAAAAGGTATTAATATCTTAACCATGAGTTAATAGTGAAGGAGGTATCTAGTAGTTTTATTTTTTTTTATTTAAGTGTTTAAGTGCTAATTGTATATTCATGGATTATCTTTTAGAAATTGAGTTGCTGTTGGTACCCTCAATAGAAAATAAATAAAATTAGGGAATGGGACTTAAAACACCCATATTTTTTATTCAGTAGGACAGAAAATTCCTTTTAATTGTTATATAAATCAGATTTTAGAATTTTGGGAGTCTTAGTTATCCTAGCTAGTCCATCATCACATACATATTTCCTCAGATTTTAAATTCCAGTGTATACTAAAACCAACTGCCATTGAGTCAGATCTGACCCATAGCAACCTTTCCTTGAGTTTCCAAGGCAGTATCACTACGGAAGTAGATTGTCCAACCTTCTTTCCGAGGAGTGGCTGGTAGGTTTGAACTGCCAGCCTTCTGGTTAGCAGTCAGATGCATTAGGCACTATGCCACCAGAGCTCCTCATGAGTATGTACTACTTATGCTAAATCCATTCATAGAAGTCCAAGATTATAAACCCAATTTATAAGATCATATTTTTTAGAAAAATTAAAACATAGTATCTCTTCCATTATATAGATTCAGCCTATCAACAATTATTATTAAACACTGAACATTACCACAGTATGTTGTCTGTATATCTTTTGACAGCTCCCATTATATATAAAAATATTACAGCCAGAACCATGTGCTTTATGATATGACTCACTAATTTTTGTTTTATCATTGCTATTTGTGGAAACTGTTAAGGACAATACAAAAAGCAGTTGTTTTTGCTTTATGTAAAATAGACTGAGTTAGCATTTCAGTTTATTTGCTCATTTAAAAAAATTAACTCTATTAAAATATTTATCATAGCCCTTGCCCTTACTTGTGAGCATTAAATATAATTCTTAATGAGCATCCATTAAGAGAGAGATGCCATAAGAGTTCAAAGTGGTACATATCCTGTTCAGTTTGTGGTCTGATAGTGACCCAGGTAATGAATTTAGAAGGTTAGTAATATCTCAGTAGGTCAAGTATTATTAATTAATGTCACTTAATGGTATATATATTGATACATATGTATCAATACCTATGTATGGATCAGTTACTTGTGAATGAAATACGCTTTATCATTTTTAAAACCATCTTGACTATAGCATCACTTAAAGAAAACAAGTTCCAGTAGAATAATATTCATTTGAAAATAACCACTTAAATTTCTTTTAGCTTTATACCCTGAATATGTCAAAATTTGGCAAATAAGCTTATTATGACCATGATTTTTCTGATAGAATCACAGTTTTCTTCCATAATTTGCATAGAATAGAAAGAAATTTTTTTTCTCATCATACCAACTAATTTGAGATTGACTGTGTAACATTGGACATCTGAAAAAATTATTAGTACTAACAAGTAATCCCAGCTTAACACGATGCAGCAGAGCATGGTCTTACGCTGTGACTAAAGGTTTTATTTTATATTTAGAAGCATTTAGCGGGGCCTCTTAAAACTGTCAACTGTAACATTCTTTGGTCCCATGAACCTGAAAGGGATAGTAAGTTCATAGAAAAAGTAACTGAGTCACTATTATTGGGAAGTTTTGTCTAAAACTATTATAAATGAAACTAATACATAATAATAATGTTTATTTATAAGACAAGGAAAAAAATAATACAGGTTTTTTGGTAGCTTTCTGTTTTCCTAGTAAGATGATAACCACCATAATATTTTCACATTCAGGTGTCCTCAGTCTGTTGGAACATGGAGAAGAGTATACATTCTCTCTACCTTGTGCATATGCCCGGTCAATTTTAACTGTTCCTTGGGTAGAGCTGGGTGGCAAAGTCAGTGTCAACTGTGCAAAGACTGGGTATTCAGCCAGCATCACTTTTCATACTAAGCCATTTTATGGTGGCAAACTGCACCGGTAAGAACATTTTAATAATACCTGACCCTTCTATACCACTTTGATCCTATATTATAACTGATTCTTTTTCTACTTTGTTTTATGTCTGTGGGGTTGAATTTTTATTCATGTTTATTTTTGTTTAATATATTTAGTCTTGAAGGCATTCTGGAAATCATCTGGATTTAAAAATAGTGAAATTATTAACATCTTTTTTTTTTTAACTTTCTATTGTGATTTGGGAGAAACTTTACAGAACACATTAGTTTTCTGTCCAACTATTCATGCACACTTTGTTTCATGATACTGATTGCAGTTCCCACAATGTGACAGCCCTTCCTCCCTGTGTTAACTATTTACATTTGTTTCTTTCCTGTCCCTTCCTGCCTTCTGAGCTTTCTCCTTGGGCTCATGCTGCCCTTTTTTATCTCAGGTGGTTGATTGTTCTAAAGAGTGAGTACCTCCCTGGTGCCTCACTTCACAGGCTTATCTATTGTATGGCTGAAAGTTGAGCCATAGGGGTCAATTCAGCTTGAAGGGTGTTAAGGTTCATAGTCTTGGGATTCCTCCAGTCTTTGTCAGATCAGTAAATCTAGTGATCTGTTTGGTTTTTTTTTTTAATTATTTTTAGTTTTGTTCCAAGTTTTTCTCCCACTCTATCTTGGCCCTTCTATTGTGATCCCTTTCAGAGCAGTCAGTTCTTGTAGACGGGCACCATAACAGATGCACTTTGACAGATTTTTTTCTGGTGAACTAGCTAACAAGATGTAGAGTAGAATTCCTGACAAGAATAAATAAGCAATCGCTGTCCCAAACTTTACCTATAAAGAGATGCAGATGTGGATCCAGACCTTAGTGAAAGCAGCTATTGATACAAGTTTGGACAAAAATATATCTAATCACAAGAAATAGTTAAAAAAGTAGAACAATGGAAACCAACATGATGTCTTTAGATAACTATTAAATGGTGGTATTATTCTAATTTCATTTAGGAACTGGTCAATTATTTTACTCCTTTCTTGGCTTGTTAGTCTCTTCAGCATTAGTCTAGATCACCCCAACTACGTGAAGACAAAATTTTCAAATGTTGTTGTGTAGCATTGAGTCGTTGCCTACTCATGGCCTTTAGTGCCCCACAGGGTTTCCTAGGCTGTGATCTTTACAGGAGCAGATCACCAGGTCTTTTCTCCTGGGAAGCCACTGACACATTGGAACTGCTAACCTTTCAATTAGCTTAGCTTTTCAGTTAGCATTTAAGTGCTGACTTAACCGTTATACCCCAGAGCTCCTAAGTTTCCTAAAAGGAACCTCAAAAGGACACTGACTCTTTCCTTAAGCCCTTGATGTCTTTTTTGACTGTCCCTAAAGTAGATGTAGTTTAATTTTTTATAAAATTTTCATTGATTAATAATAAATATACAAATTGATTAAAACATTTGAGCACTCTGATCCCTTCATGCCCTGTTCAGTCACAAACCTCAATCTAAGTTAGCCATTTTCCTGATTTCTACCAGCATAGAATAGTTCTGTCTGTTTTTGGACTCTATATAAATGAAATCATACATTACATGCTTTTTCATACCTGGCTTTCTTGGTTCAATGTTTTGTTTTAGAAATCCATTCGCATATAGTTGTAGTTATTTCTCTTTACTGTGGACCATATTCCATTGTATTGACTATGCCACAATTTCTTGATTCATTCTACTTGTGGACGTTTGAGTAGTTATCAACTTTTTTCCTATTACAAATAGTACTGCTGCAACGTGATTTGGTAAATATATGTTTGAGTTTCTGTCGGGTAGATATCTAGGGGTGGAATTGCTGGGCTGTGAGGTGTGTGTAAGTTGAGCTTTAATAGATCCATATGTATGTTCTTCAAATTCTATAGGATTCATAATGTCTATAACAACTTTTTTTTTTTTAAAGCATCTTGTTCATACACAAAAGCAGCTCTGGTGGTATAGTGGTTAAGGCATTAGGCTGCTCACCAAATTGTTGGCGGTTCAAACCCAACAGCTGCTCTGTGGAAGAAAGATGGGGCAATCTGCTTTTGTCAAGAATTACAGCCTTGGAAACCCAGTGGGGGTTGCTATGAGTCAGAATCGACTCGATGGCAGCGAGTGAGTTTGGTTTGGTTTGGGTCTTTGGTTTTGTTTATACACAAACTTATTCTTTTGACTGATTCATGTGGTTTCATCTATTATACCAACATGGCTATAAGCTTCTTGGCAGACCTGTACCATTTTGGGCCTTCTCTTGTGCCTGTGATGTAAGGATGGCACAGGACTGGGCAGTGTTTTGTTTTGTTGTACAAAGGGTCACTGTGAGTCAGAAATAAGTCACTGGCACCTAACAACAACATTGTCCCTATACAGTGCTGGGTTAGCAAAGAGTCATCTGTAAATATTTGCCAATTTTTCTTGGGAAATATGCATCGGTGTGGATTTCTTTGTTTTCAGAGATAGAGTCTGGTCCAGACTGTCAAATTGTAGTTATTCCCAATGATCCTTCGAGCCACTGTTAGTTACTTTTTGGTGCAAACCCTTCTATTTGATGGTTTTAGAGATGTACACAGTCAATATCCCCTTTCTCTAGAATAGCCTTTTGTAGTTTGAAAACAGCTATTGTGTATCTTCCTATTTTTTTCTCCTCTGAGTTTGATGTCCTTATTTCATTCAATCACTCTTAATGACCCCGCTATTCATTGCATATATAGAATTTCTCTTCAGTTTGAATTACCATATGTATCACTAGGTTAGAACTGCAGCTAGAGGGTCTTCCACGTTGATCACAAAGGATTTCTCATGGAAGGCTCATATACATTTATATATTGATTATGTCACTTTGAAGACTAAGGTGTGCCTGAACCGAGGCATGGTTTTTCGATCACTTCATATGCATGTGAAAGCTAGAAAATGAATAAGGAAGATCAAAGAAGAATTGATGCCTTTGACTTGTGGATAAAATACTGAAAATACCGTGGATACTGCCAGAAGGAATGAACAAATCTGTCCTGGATGAAGTGCAGCTGGAATGCCCTTTGGAAGTGAGAATGGCCAGACTTAATCTCACCTACTTTGTTTGTGTTAGAAGGGACCATTCCCTGAAGAAGGATATCATGCTTGATAAAGTAGAAGGTCAACGAAAAAGGGGAAGACATGTGATGAGATGGATTGACACATTGGCTGCAACCGTGGGCTCCAGCATAGCAAAGATTGTGAGGATGGTGCAGGACTGGGCAATGTTTCGTTCTGTCGCCATGAGTCGAAGCCTACTCAAAGGAACCTAACAACAAAGCATACTTTGATTAGAGAAGTAGCAGTTCCCTCCCATATGAGTGTTGTGATGTGAATATGGCTTAATCCTTGACCAAATTACCTTTTTTAGGGTTTCTCTACTGTATGAGTTTTCTTGTTTTTAGCATGAAGGCTAAAACTCTGGTTGAAGCTCTCTCACATTGATTAAATCAGAAACCAAACCCATTGCCGTCAAGTCAGTTTTCTCTCTATAGTGAACTTTCTGATGTTTTAAAAGGAAGAGCCTGACTGAAGTCTTGACTACAGTTACTACATTTATAGGATTTTTCTCCAGTGTGGATTCTCTTGTGTTTTCTAAGGGTTGAATAAAGGCCTTCCACTTAAATCACATTGATATGATTTCTGTCCAATATGTATTCTTTTCATATTGTTCAAGGAATGAGCAATTTGTTAAAACCATCTACTGGTGGTATTTCTGTTAATAGCAGTACTAAATAACTAAGAAAGTCACTAAGAATAAATAGGATGTACGTATTAATTCTATCATCAAAAGAAGCCTAAAACCGCACTACCTTTTTGAACTCCCTCCTAACCCTTAAAATAGATAGATTTTGTCTTAAAAAAACTGTTGGTATATGGTAGTTAAGTAAATGAAACCAGTTTTGTATTGAAGGACTACGTACACTGTATAGGTGAAAAGGCACCATAGTACTGGCCACTTTCTCCCTCACTGAAGTTTCCTGATAGTATTTGCCTTCGTATGGTTTTTCTCCAGTGTGTTTTCTCTTATGTAATTGCAGATTTGAGTGATTACCAAAAGCTTTTTCAAAATGGTTTTTCTCCAGTGTGGCTTTACCATGTCTATGAGGATAAATAATAACTATAGAATTACTCAAAGTCATTGCTTTGATCCTAATATTTCTCTCCTCTGTGAATTTCTTGAGTCAATTAAGAGATAAGAGTTCCGTATTTACTCTGTTCCTGTTAGTCATCACATGCTAAGCCAGTGTTGATCTGTGAGTGGAAATTTTCCCACATTTACTGTGATTCAAAAGATTCCTTCCTAATATTAAATTTCTGCTTCTGAAAGGAAATATGATACTGTTAACGGCTTGCCTGCATATACTTTATTTATTTGTATTGGTACATATGAGTTCTCTGATTCCAGTTAAAATCGTATTCCACATTTAGTATGCATAGTATTATCTCTCATGTTCAGAAT